AAACATCTTACTTGAAAATATAATTACTCGATACTTCGTGAATTATTGACTGTGAAATACTCGTATAAACCCTGACTCGAAACCTTTACTTGGAATTAGCCGTGATAATAAACTTGTAAAAGCCTTAAGATTATTACGTACATTAAAAAGAAATAACACTCTGACACCCTGTCTAACAGTTGTAGTTCGCAAGAATTACACGTTAACAGTACTTAGCTGAAATTGCCACATTCCGCTAAGAGTACTTAGAAAGTTTATTGTAAAGTTTTTATATATTTTTTAAGCTGTCTTATAGTCTCGTCCAGTGAGTATTTATCGATCTTCATTTCTCTTACATCTGGATCCTTGATCTGCATTATTTTATGTGATGGGATGGTTGATAGCTATCGTTTTCATTGATAAAGCATGCGTACATTGCAACCGTAGTACCTAAATAATAATTAATATCTATTTCCATGTTTTGTTCTTTTGCTATGTTCGATGATACTCCATATAATCCCAAACTCTATATGGTATTAATCTGCCTTTCTCATCACGAAGACAGGGACCCTTCATAATGACATAACTAAACTATTCACCAGGATCGGGAATCCTCTTATTTCTCTCTCTCATACGTTTTATAAAGCGATTGTTGCAGAGATTTTTTTCTTAGGCCTCCATGTTTCTATCACAATAAATTCATTGAAATCCCATTTCTTGTTTCCTGCTTCTCTAAGAGTATCTTTAACAATTTTATGAATTGGACGCGTATTATTTATATCCATAGCCTCTCTCATTATATTCTCTCCAATGAATTTGAGAAGCTGAGATTTACCTTGCTTTATGGTATCTATCCCTTTCATGAAAAGATTTTTCAGTTTAAAGTTTATTACATCTTCATGCTCAACCCCAAAGTATTTCTTTTTACCAGTAAAGCAGATGGGAAATAATACTTCTTCATATATCATATTTAGATAAGATGTCTCACTTTTTATTCTAAGATTAGTGTTTACTTGATCACACAACTTTTTCATCACATTCATAGTAATTTTGACTATTTCAATCCAGTACGCTTTTTTGGAAAGTTTTTTTCTGAAGAAGGCTTCATCACATTTCTCATAATACCTATCCAGATAGGTAAGATACAAAGAATCGGTATTCCCATATTTTATCCCAAACCCTTTCTTTGATACGAATTCAGCAATAAAATTAAAGTTGTATTTTTCTGCCTTAGTAGTTTCACAGGCTAATTCGCGAAGAAAGATTGGAAATAGTGAGTTTCCAGCTTCCCCATAAAAAGTGTTTATGTATACACTCCCTACCAAAAAGTATTAGACCACCTCCGTGATCTGCAGATCTATAGTGATTACACAAAATTTGTGCGACTTAAGAATTATTTATTACTATACGATTATTAAAAATGATTATCACCATCTCTTTTTTATTCTTTTCCATACTTTTTTTCTTTACACATTCTTTGATATGTCCAAAAAGAAAGAGCTTACGATTATTCAACGTGGGATAGTTATTGGTCTCCATAAAGCAGGCAAATCTGAGCGAGCTATATCTCAAAAAACAGGCCACTCAAAGATGGCTATCCATCATATAATTAAGAAGTACAATAAAACAGGTCTTCTTGACAATGTTCCTAGAAGTGGACGACCTAAAAAATTGACTGAACGTGATAAGTGACATCTAAAGCTTATAATTAACAAGGAAAGGCGTGAGCCAACACAAAAATTATTGGAAACTTTTGTAAATTCAGCCGGAAATAAAGTGTGTAAGAATACTATACAAAATACACTTTATGAAATGGGGTACCATAGCCAAGTTGCACTTCGAAAACCATACATTAGTGAGTCAAACAAGCGTTTTCGAATAAAATGGTCTTGAGAAAGACGTCTTTGGACGATTAATGATTGGAAAAAAGTTATCTGGAGCGATGAATCTAGGTTCACGCTATTTGAAAATGATGGAAAAGTTTATGTTTGGCATCTTCCCAAGGAGAAATATGATGTTAATTGCATGGTTCTAACAGTAAAGCATGGTGGGGTGGGATAATGATGTGGAGGTGTTTTTCATGATATGGAATGGGCCCTTTAATGAGAATTGATGGCTGAATTAATAGTAAAAGATACATAGAGGAGATTCTTGGCTATCATTTAATACCATTTTTGGAAGAATTCGAGGAAGAACATGGTGAGTATTTGTTTCAGCAAGATAACGCAATAATCCATACTAGCAGGTAGACACAAGCTTTCATTGAAGAAAATGAGATAACTCCTTTACCATGGCCAGGGCAAAACCCCGACCTCAATCCTATAGAGCATGTCTGAGATGAACTTGAACGTAATATTCGATCACGTGAAAAAATTCCCAAAAACATGGCCGAATTAGAAGAATTTCTACAAGAATCATGGTCGCAAATTTCTAGTAGTATTTTTCAAAAACTGGTTAGCAGTATGGAAGGTTGGGTAAAAGCTGTTTTAAAGTCACATGGCTTTCCAACTAGATATTAGCGTATATTTTAAATAAAATTTTACACAGGTAAACTTGAAAATCAATTAGATAATTAATGTTTTTTTTTATTTTTTATCAAGTTTTTAATGAAAAATTTCCCCCATATACTAGTTTACGAAATAGATTATGTTTATGAAATTTTTTTTTTTCCTGAAATGTTATACACAATTTATACTTTAAATAAATTTGATTTTAAATTTTACGTTTATATATTTTTTTTTCAAAAAACAATTTTGAACTTTTACTTAATTTAATTAAAAACAATACTTAAAAAATGCAATATATCCAACTAAATTATTTTTAATTAAAACATATACATAAAACGTTGAAAAGTATTCATTATCGATTAAAGATATTATATTTATTTATTAGAGTTTGATAAAAAACGTTAATAAATAAAAATTGTATTTTTTTAAAAAATTTTTAAGTGGTCTAATACTTTTTGGTAGGGAGTGTACCTTCAAAGCTTTTTGCTTTGAATCTCAATAATCATAATCGAAGCATACAGATGAGTATTCTAAATTTAAGCTTTCTGAAATCCTTTTGCCTTTTTCTTTAGCTGAACTTATCATCTTTCCAAGATGTTGCCTTTTCTTTCCTAGTGAGACCAGACATACTTTAAGTTTCAGCCTCTTATTAGATAAACCCTCTAATACTGCCAGATATAATCCTTTCCTCTCAGATTGATTTTCATGATGTATACACTAAGCTTTAACATCATGCTTATTGAATTTAAACTCAATCGTATGAAGCTCGTTTCCATTTTTACGGACATTATCAGCCTTTTCTCAATCTAATATAATTTTTTCTGAAAAGAGATTGTAGGCCATGATAATGCTAGGATTAAAGATGCTCTGCAACTTATAAGTTGCGGATTAAGTTTCAGATTTTAGGTTGCAACTATTATGTATTTTAAAAAAATAATTCCGCAATATCCGCAAATTCACAATTAATCCGCAAGTTTACAATTAATTTATTAATATAAA